ATCACACTGCCTACCATTCTCAATCAAGGGATGTTCTCAGTGCTCCATAACACTACAAGCCAAAGAAAACCTATAAACCTATAACCTATAATTTCACCTATAAGGCGCTGCATGGCTTGGCACCTCAGTACCTGTCTGAACTATTATCGCCCTACTCCCCACCTCGCAACCTTCGCTCTTCTAATTCTGCTCTCCTTACTGTCCTCCAAGCCCGTCTACATTGTATGGGTGACAGGGCCTTCTCCTGCTATGCCCCCAAGCTCTGGAACTCTTTGCCCAAGGATATCAGAGAGTCACCTTCTCTAAACTCCTTCAAATCCAGACTCAAAACCTTCTTCAGAAAAGCCTTTACTTAACTGGTTCCATTCTTCACCCCTCTGCTTTTCTTAGCACCACCATCCACAGTCTCCTCTATATCTTGTAATTGTGTCTTATCTTGTGTATTCTTCTTATTTATTTATTGTTGTGTTCTACTTATTTATTTATTGTTGCTGTCATCCTGTAAAGCGCTTTAAGAAGCCATCTTTAAAGGCACTATATAAAATAAAATTTATTATTATTATTATTATAAAACTGGAGAAAAGAAAGGACCCCTCAAACAGACCAGGAAAAAAAACAAATTCTACGGCAAAAACTCTACACAAGGATGGAGTTTATGAACCCATTAGTGTCTTGCATCCCATTTTTAGGATGGGTGAAGAAGTATGTAAGAAATGGTTATGTACTCAGGAAAAAAACAATACACATTATTCTTCCAATTCTGTTTCCAAACTTACTTATTTGAGAATAAACCTAAGATCCACTTCAGAGACAGAGTGTGTTATTCATTTTGGCTGTTTCATCCACAGAGACAACTGATCATTTCCACTGAAGCCAAAAGCAGCTCACACCAACTTGGGTTGGTTATGGTCTATGGCACGACTCTGCATACTTTGCATCTCTCTAAATTTCAGAATGATGATTTTATGACTGCGTGCCCATCCTATTTTGAATCTACAACTGTGTGTTTACATCTCTATTCACAGCGACAATCACTGTAGCCACACTGGGAGAAGAAAGAAGAGCTGCACTCCCCTTGAGCCCAATCACCTTCTGACACCCTACAAGCTCTGCAGTAATACACAGGGCAAGCAGTTAAGAGTACACTGGAAATGAGGTGTGGCTCTCTCTGGCATCCACGTGTGCCTGCAGGCACCCGATACACTGCATGAGTCACTGTTTTACTGGGAGCTGAGAGTGTGCCCAAGTCCATTAACTCCAGTCCTGCCATCCAAGACATCCTGTACAAAGTCAATTGTGCACCGCTGACTGAAGAATCTCAGTCAACGTAGGCTGATGACATGACCCAGGCATAAACCCATTCTTGTTAACTGAAAAGGCATCTGTTTCAGTACTAGCATTCTATGTAGGGGACATATCTGTACAAATATATAATACAATTACTGTGAAAAACCCAGGGAGAAAAGAAAAAAAGTTGCTCTGGCACAGGAATAACTATTCTAATAAAAAACTAATACTAATTGGGAGTTCTAAAAATAAACCCTGAATGGGTGGTGACTGTATTTGTCCATATTCTAAGAATTAATAGTTTCATGAGCGCAGACAGCCCCAGTTTTAGGATTGACCTATAAATGGTTGTTCTCTTAACACAGTGCCCCATATGACCATATGTGGGCAATATCAGAATTGTCTGGTTGAGATCCACAGATTCACTCGAGCACACAACATCCGATTATTACGAAAGGCATCTTTCCATATCAAGTGGGCCGAGTTCATTGTCTGTGCCTGCATGGACAGTTGGAACAAAGGGGCCTCAGTGCTCCGAGCTGCAAGGCTAACTTCTTCAACATTTAAACCCACTGTTCAATTTTCAGAAGGGGCTCGGGGAGGAGGCCCAATGAGTGTTTGCAAAAACCGTACCTTTACAGATTATCCTGAACAAGTCAGATAAATGGCTACTGCCGGCGCAGTATCAGCAGGCAGCATGCTGGAGCACAGAGCAGCATGTCAGGGCAACAGTCTATTGTGAAGCACTGCGTGTGCACTGATTTGTTATTCCTGAGCCTCTTCCCATGTCGCTCAACTGTTTCAGCGGTCTTACGCAATACCCGGTCTGTAGAACCAGATGCAGAACAACGGAAAACATTTAAAAAGCACATGAAAACACCCACAACATGCTCAATGGCATCATTAACAATGTAAAAATCCATGCAAGGTTAACTCACTGGGAGATCCCATTTAGCCCAAATATCTACTTCATATTATAGGCCTAGTGTACCCTATATACCCTAGTGTATATTGCAATGTAGGATAATGGTCATTTTTCCATCATTTTGTAAAAGTAGAAAAAATGCTTATACTGTGCATCAACAGACAAACCAACCACTTCTACAGGTTTGATTTCTATTTTTATACCTCTTCTATGAGCCTTAGTAGACTTAATATGCATTTTACATGGAAGGGTAAAAAAAAAGTAGTTCCTACCTTAATATGTACTCCTTAACAACCAAGCAATTCTTACCAAGCAAGTCATCCCTGTGCTGCTGAAAACCCAGTCACTTTACAGTGGGTTTGCAGGAATAATAAATAATGGATAAACTCATGGACAGGTTTGACAGTTCTGCATACTCTCTATTAAAGTGTGGGAGTGTAAGAGGGAGGAGTTAAAAAAAAAACAGTGGTGAAGAAAAGAACATCAAATTTGTTTGATTGTCTAATACAATGACTGAAATGAAATAAAATCAGCATGTTGTGTTTATTTTATTAATCTGTGAATATCTGTCAAACTCCAGCCCTATACTCTGTGCTCAGTGCAAGAACAGTAGTACCTGGGAAGCCCAACATCAAAGCTCAGTCTCCCCCTAGACCGATTTCTCAAGCATGAAGCAATAAATCCAGGCAGAAATGGAGTAGAATAGTATGGAAGATAGCAACACAACTTAAAAACGGATGTCAGGGAGCCAAGATTGCTAATGCTACCAGAGCAACAGCTTAGGAAAATGAAAACAAACAATGTGGTAGACCACTAAGGGAAAACTGCCTTATTCCAGAAGACCCAGGCTCAAAGCAGCATTTCATAAAGGAAACAAAATAAGCTTTCGGAAAGAATGTGAACTGCTGGGCTGATCGAGCTCATTCTAACAACCTCCCTATCCAGAAAATGGCTGTTTCATCATCTCTTTCATCAAACGTAGGAGTCTCCCTCACTGTTTGGTTTCTAGATAAGTGTAGCAGAGGTTTGTGGAACCCCTGCAAATGCTTTCTTTTGTACCGTTTGGGTTTATGGAGTTACTGTACATCAGGCACTTGAACAATAAACGATAGCAGTTTATTCCACTAAACCTTGTTGCTAAAAAGATGCATAAACCCATGCTGCTTGAAAACTGCACTTCAAGGCAACAATACTGTAATACAATAATATAATAATAATGCATATTGTAATAATATTGTTAATTATACAACGGATATTAGTTGGATACATGAAGATGAAGCTTTGAGCATCCTAAAAAGATTTAACTTAACACTGAAGCTATACATCACCACTCCATAGTCTATATGTAACAGACTGCAGACTAATTTCTAGCTGCTTATAACAAAACGCTGAAATTTCTCTCCAAAAGACTTCAGCTACCCAGAACATACTTTAGATGGAGGACTTGACTACAGGTGAACAGCAAGGTTTTGAACAAGTCTCAGGTGTGTGCAGAATACGAACAGTTGTGGCTGTTGGGAATGTGAAATAAGAAAGTTTATAGGGTTGAACCACAGCACAACGACATCATAGCACAATAACCATGACAACGTAAACATATTTAATCTCATTCCTAGCTTTATGCTTCATTATGGCAAGTAAACTGCTTTCAAAATCATTTCAAAACAGGCACAGGAGTTTTAAGCCCTGTTTCAGAGTGCTTTCAATTCTATAAGCTATGTAAAAATAATACTGGATCTGTTACATTTCTTTAATGGGGTGTGATCTGCACTAGTTTCATTTTTCAATGTTTCATGATCTGCATGATCAACCAGTGGCTGTCTTTGACTACACCTGTCAGCCCACAGTTTCTCTAATGTAGCGGAGACCAGTATTTAAACAGAGAAAATCTGTGGTTTAGCACCTCTCCGTACATACACCGGAAAAGAGTGGGACGTGGATTTGCTAATGACACCATTTCAAGACATCATCCAGCCTGCCCCAATTTAAACCCACTCATATGGGTAAAAAGGAAAACCCAGGAAGATTCCTTAAAAGAACATCATCTGTATTAAACATTCTTATACAGAATATTAAACTCAAATCTCAAAATATCAAATAAGGTTTACAATGGCAATGGAGAGATATCACAAGACAGTATTTACTAAATTATAAGTTTTATTTAATAAATGACAGTGACAAAACTGCTTTGCTCTATGTTAAACAAAATTAAGGATGAATGATTATAAACTCTGATGCAACACCCAAGACAAGATGTTCTTTATGAAGTTTCTGCCCCACTGCAGAGGCCAAAACAAATGACAAGGTCTCCTTTTTATAAGCGAGAATGTAAAAATTTCAAAGCAAATATATTACTTTCTTTTATTGATTTAAAAAAAAAATCTATGGTAATGATAGTTAATAAAATGCAGTTTCCAACAATTCTTAACAAAAACTTTCATATCAAGATGCATTTCAGCAGAGTTGTTTAGTCCCTGAGTCACTACTCTGTGTCCTTCCTTAATTGTGTAACAAATACGGCATTCTGTCACAAAACTATGCCATTTTTAGGTAAGCCTTTAAAAGAAACATTTGAGCCCTGCATATTTTTTCTTTGCAAAGGACATATTGGTCAAACTAGAAAATTTAAGTATAGAACATAGCTTTCGGATGTTTTTAAATAGTCCAGTTTTTTTTTTCCTAAGGGCAGCAGGCTGCAAATGAAACTCTTCCAGTTGAAAAAACGGTGCTGCACAAGCAGCAGACTGCAGACTGCAGTCTCCCCCCGGAGAACGAAACCCGAACGTACCTGTGTGGCTTTGTCCCTCATGCAGGGTGCGCACTGGCCGTGGCTGTCCCTAGGCCAGTGTCCCGAGAGGTAGGGGGCTGTGAGGGTGTCCAGAGAGGAAGTCCGGCGGATGTTGTTGTTACTGGAGGGACTGGCCGAAGGCTGCCGTGGTCTTTCTGTTGAGAGAGCAAGAGGGATAAAAAGGATCTGGTAATTACGCAGCATTTCATGCGATGACGCTTTCTGCCTACAAGACTCCGTGTAGACTAGGAGGCTCTTGAAGGTTCAGGGTGACCATTGTGTAGCTGTCTGTGTGGGCAGAGGACCCCTTTCATCCTGAAGAATTATGCACATGTATTAAATACTGTGAGTGTTCCTTCTGATCTGTTATGCACATTAAACACCTTGCACTTAATAAGGGCTCCAAACACCTGCAGGAAGGGACTGACAGCCCTTTCCCACAAACAACTGCTTGACGCATATCGTTTCCAACTCTCCGTGTGGCCCAACAACTTTCAGCACGTCTTGCTCCTCTGTGGTGACATTACCCCTGGACAAGCAAGCCAACACGCACAAGCAGAACCTCTCGTCACTCAAGGTTGTCGTTATTCATTATCCAAGTAACTTAACCCAATGGGAGATTAAAAATATAAGGTACGAGAAGATATTAGGAAAGGAAAAATTGTATGTCATTTGTTTAGGCCACTATCTGCCAGAGATATCCATCTCTATCTACTCCCCAGTAAACCCATATAAAGATGCACATCCCACAGAGATTAAGGAGGTGTGCTTCTGGATACTGTACTGCAGGTTCGCTTGACCAAGCGACTATCACTTTCAGTGAGCCAGCACCAGTCCGACACAAAACAGTACTACTCCTCTGCGCTCACATTTAATTTAAAAGGAAAACTCCTACTTCAAAACTACACACTGAATACGCATAGGAGAGTGCATGATTATCAAGCAAATATATCCATGAAACATAGAACTTCATCATCATGGGAGATAGGATGTTCACTGTTAACCAATAAGGCATCTATGTCGGAAATACGTATTAGTGTTAGATTACTTATAGTCAGAAAGCAAAGTGGAAATATTGAGATGAATTAAGAGGTTTGTAAGTATTTATGTTTTGAGTATACACAGATTAGGGCTCACAAAATCTTCTCACCCAGTAAATCGACCAGCCTCTTACTAATGCCACACAACAAAGATTTGCCTTTCTTATTAGGACAGAATGAACACTTTGACCTGTGGTTCCGTAAAGTTTATGTTTGTTAGTCCAACAAACATTAAACTGAGTGAATGAAGTCCATACACAGTTTCATCAACCCAAAAACCAAAAGAAACCCAAAACCGGTTTTTAGACAAGTACCGTGTTGGTGAGAATTCCCCTCAGTTTCATCGTGGAAAACACAGATACGCTGCCAAGAAAAACAGGAGCCCAGCTGGCTCAGTGTAGGAGCAATAGTGTTCCACTGTATTCCTTACATTCCGGTGGCCAAGCATACAAAAGGTAAGAAATAAGGACAAACTGCAAGAGTTTATCATCCGTGTGGCGTTGTACTTTCTGGCAAGACGTCACCTTATCGACCCATCTCTCCAAAATAATTTCACCAGTGAAGCCATGAGCTTAAAGGGCCTTGGTGATGCATTTAAAACTGGCTTTCCAAAGCAACCCAATCGACCTGACCTACTTTCCAAACGAGATTCACAGGCACAACGCCCTCTTTCCCCTCCCCATCATCTTCCCCCTCCTCAGCTGACACCAATCCCCATAGGCTGTCATTTTCACTCTATCGGTTTTACCCTCTAGGCACTGTTTCTTCAGACAAAAAAAAACACCACCTGACATTCTCTCTCTGTCTGCCCCCGGATTTCACTGCCCTAACAGAAAAACGCTTCGGTAGGGACTTCTCTCACTCCTGACAGACACTAACCAGTGCTGCTTCATGACAGTCTTCCTTTGCGACATCGCAGATGGGGTGAACACATTTTTCCATTGGCTTGTTTGTCTTTGCTGAGCAGAAATGTCAGCCTCTTAATTATTTGGTTAGGGAATTAAGGAGTGATGTCATTCTTGAATTATCATGTGTTAATTGGACACCCACCTATCCGATGTACAGCAAAAACAGCTGGTGTTTGGTATTTTAATCGCTATTGGTACTCTTTACTCTTTTTTAGAAAATAATGCCAAATACATACAAGCATTTACACTTGAGGCTTCAGCAATGATATTTAAGCCCACGTAACACATTGGAAGTAATGTGGTGGAATTAAAGAGCACAACTCACAAAGGAAACATCTGAACTTAACGTGATCGGTAGTGCTGCCAATTATGATAAATCATATTTTTTCTTCAACCGAGTAAATAAATTTAACGTCAAGCAAGACTTGTATAACAGGAATATGATTTGCACTTTAACGTCTGTTAAAGTGTTTACTATGTCTGATGTGTTAATTGGCAATGTGACCTATGAAAAAAGCACTGGTTCCTATGCAAAATGTTCCTTTACCATTTTAAAGACTAAGTATTTTCAAATATGGTATATCTGCCTGCAAGCAATTAGCCATCACCTTGGAATTACGTTTACATAAATTTGTTGTACTGTACTAAAACAGCCAGTCTAATAGCTGTAAAAATTAAGTTCATGAATTACTGCAGCATGAAAAATTATTTTATTAGAAAGCAACTGTACACACTTTATGATTCACTTTTTTCAAACTAACATGCAGTTTGCAGAACAATGAGTAGTTTTCAGAATTTAAATACCCTTAAGTAATTTGTGCATACAGTACTGGAAATAATTGTATTAACAGAGGACAAAGTGGGTGTATAACAAAACTATGTGAAGCAAGCATGCACTTAATTCAAATCATTACTGCAGAAAAAAATGCAAAGAAAATGAATGTATTGTGAAGAACATTTTGATCCTATAACACTTTCCACAATCATCCCCAGCTGTTTAGTTGTTGGTGTGCTTTATCATTCACGTAACCTCATTTACGTGACGTTCGCAGCAGTGATATCTTTCAGTGTTCCAGGCAGACTTGCACCACGTCGGCTGTATACCTGGGGGTTCACGTGTTGAAACGTGAACCCCCCCCGGTTTCACAAAATGCGGTTTTGTGAAAATGGCACAGATGAGCAGAATCTACCTGCACCTGTTCACACTCGGGCTACCTTTGAGGTCACGCCAGTCCCTGCCACCCTTACGTGAGATACAACCCTACATCTGTAATGATCCACTTCTTGCTTCCATGTGGCTGCTGTGCACTGGTAATAAATCAGCAGTTTCTTAAAAGGCACATTGCAAAAGATTTAAAAGGAAATAGTTAAAACTTGTCTACAATGAGACCATTTTTCCAGGTTTAATCATCCCGCTGTTTCCTTCTGTCAACCTATTACAGTAAGTTTCCTTTGTTCCTCAGCAAAGATTTCTGAGCAGCTACGCGCCCATGAGACTAATGTGCATTTTACAGCTCTTGCAGAAATGTTAACACTTTTATTTATAGCGTGGTTATTTGCAAAATCTGGGCAGGATCATTGTCAATCATTCAAGGACGTTTCAAGAGGAATTTGACTTTGGTTTTGCATAGTAAATAAAAGACTTGAAAACTAGAAGAGTCTTACACTTGGCATTGGATGATGTTGGGCCACAATCTGGTAGTCTGATAGATATAACAAAACCTTTGACTTCCAGAAGCTTGTTGCGTGTGATTGTACTTCCTGGAGCTTTCGTCTTCATCACAAATCTCAAATCCATTTCATATCCCTGTACATATATAGAACTTGTGCTGGTTTGGCACAATACGACTGCCAAGCAGCTAATCACATTGTACTTTGTCAAAGCAACACAGTAATGTTTCATTTTTTCCCCAATACGATTATTCTGTTATGTATATACTATAGTAGGAGTGCAGCACAGTGGCTGGCGTTGCTGTCTTGCAGCTCGGGGGCCCTGGGTTTCAATTGCAGAGCTGAGGTACTATCTGTGTGGAGCTCGTATGTTCTCCCCACATTTGCATGGGTGTCCTCCAGGTGCTCCAGTTTACTCCCACAGTCCAAAGACATGCTGGTAAGTTAGTTGGCTTTTGGGAAAAACTGGCTCTTGGAATGGACTGGCGTCCTGTCCAGGGTGTACCCTGCCTTGAGCCCTCTGCTTGCCCATGACCCTAAAATGAATGACCTCGTTAGGAAATAGATGTATTCGGGTAAGGAGCTGGTGTGATAACCTGAGGATTCTTGACAAAATGACATGAACACAAAAATTACTAAAAAAAAAGTAATCAAATAACATCGTCTTTAAGGATACAGGGAGGAATAACCCGTACACCTTTAATTGATCATAACAGGATGTTATGAAGTCAGTAAAGAGTATAGAGTACAGATGCAAAACTCAAATGATAGCATCAGTTATGAGAAACTTTCTTCTTGTAACTTAAAGGGCACAGCCTTATGTACAACACCGGAGCTAGAACCTTGGACTGACTGGCCAAAATGTTCAGTTCACCTCAACAAGTAACTTTGTGCATCTGTGGACTTTTCAAGAGGATTCCACAAAACCTCTGCATTTTGTTCGTTACTGGAAGTACAATTTGTTCCCATTCTTCCTTCTTCAAGACCCTTTTCCGAAGCTGCAGCTGGTCTATTTATTGCCAGCCACGAACAGGATCCGTACACATCCAACTGCGCACCAGGACCACGACATTCTCCACCTCTTCATAAAAGCAGAGGAAAAAAAAAGAGGAGCGTTTGTTCAGATGGGAAGTTAACGTCTGACGGAGTGAAAGTGTCTTTCATCGGGACCAGCACACATCTGGGAGCTCTCTCGGTTGTCATTTTGTCTAGAAAACTTAACCCACGGGAGCAGTGCTGTGAATTTGCACCAGCGTGGCAAGGAACGCAACCAGAAATATCAAAGACAGGATGGAGAAAGAAAAAAAGAGTTTTGAGAAGCTCGGTGTTGTTTGAATCCTCTTCCTCAGCACTGTTCTAAAAAGGGTGCTTTTGTAGGCAACAGCATATATTACCGAGCCTCCTTTTGTTTTTAATCAGCACATGTCCTCATTTTCCCACAGCCCCTCTTACCAGCTGATGCTACTTCGGTTACAATAGTCAGGGTCCCATCAAATGATGTTCTGTTGTCTGAATATCAAAAGACTCAAGTCCCCATTATTTAGGGCTGGCAAACAAAGCAGATGAGCCTCCCCTTGAGTTGAGAGTCTTTAA